AGTTGCGCCTTCTTTCGTAGCTCACTAGCTTGGGCAGGATGGCGGAAAGCTTCAGGCCATACCCTGCAAAGGGCGAGGAGGCAAAGGGAAGCTTCAACCCGATCACTTTTCTCTACGAGTCCATCACCAAGGGCCCCTTCCACTTTGCCGGCCTCGTGCCGCACTTTGTCATGATCTTCTACGCAGCATACAGGTTGGGCGTAGCGTACGGATATGTTCCCACGAATAGTGCAGCCGTAGCGCTCGGCCTGATTCCGCTATTGCAAGGCCTTTCAGCTGGAGCTTTCGTCGGGTGTCTGGTGCTCCGATACGGTCCCCTCGGCCAATTTCTGCAGACCAAGGACAACGAGGGAACAGCAACGGATTCGGAATTGCGGCGCATCAGAGGTGCGGACATTGGCATCGCTGCAGCTGGCTACGTGGTCCTCGCGACGTGAGTATGGCTGAAGCGAGCTGAAGCAGGATTCAATGACGGGAGAGCAGGCTCGGCAAAGCCAGCGTGAATGCTTGGAAAGTGTTTGCGCGGCGCAGCGAGCCTCCCTCGGCATCGTGCGTTTTCGTGATGGCTCGTGCGGTAATGTAGCTTGAATCACCGCACTCGACAGGGCTGTGCTGCGTACCACAATGGGCCTTTCCCAGCCGAGCTTGGGGCCTTGCACGCTGCTCTTGCAAGACACGTCCTTGCTGGCACGTTTCTCGCCACGTGCTGCATCTGCTTCCTTCCTCGAGGAGCAGGTCCAAAGACAGCGCTCACATGCATTGCGTCTGCCATTTCGAAGCCGACGTGACAATCACCGTCGCGAGTCGCCTCATGGCGGATCCTCTTCTGGCAGCGAGGGAACGAGTTGGCGTGCTCAAAGACTGCGACACTGGAGCGCCCAGCAGCGAATCTTGTTGCCTTCCTGGCTGACCCTCTTGCTGCACCTTGTTTCAGCACTCTTTGGCAACATCTCCCCGACGCAGACACTCCTGGTGTCGCAGCGCTGAAGAAGACTGCAGAGAGGCTTGGACTCTCCGGCTCGAGCTGAGGTTTTGAGCGACCGGCGACGAGATAGACTTCCGGCAGTCAAGCTCAGAAGTGCGCGGGTGCCTGATGCGAGCGGTAAGACGTCCTTTCTGGACCTGCTGCCGCTCAAGAAATCGGCGCACCCGATCCGTTCCCTGTGGGTCGTCTTGTTCCTCTCTGACTCTCAAAGCTCCGACTTCTTGACTCGGCATCCGACGCTCCTTCTACTCGAGCGCTCTGCATGATCGCAACGCGCAGCAATAAATCAGGTATCATCTCTCAGGTTCATGGCGTGTCTTGTGTGAGCGCTCCCACCCGCATCTTGATGGGCCCCGACGCGAGTAGAAGCGTCGAAAAGGTGGTGCGTGAGTAGGAGAAGATAGGCTGCACGAACTGCCTTGCGCGTCCTCAGCAGAAGAGGAGGAGCATCTCGTCCGCATGTCACGGCTAGCGAGGCAAGGTTCTTCTTCATCGTTCCAGTCAGAAAACTCGCAACTTTTTTGCGCGAGTCGCAATAACAGCCTCGGTCAAGCTAGCACAGCGGAGCAGCTCTGTGCAGCCCCGCCGACGTGGACGCTGCATTTTCGGTTCGGAACTGATCAGATGCGCGCCGGACCTGACTGTGCTTGCATTCCTGCTAGTCCCACTCTGACTTGTGAGGGGAAGCTGAGGAGGCGTTTCCTAGACTTGACCGCTCAA